AAATTAAATTTGTCGGCATGATGGACAGAGAAGCCACCCTGTGTGTTTCAAGGAAATTATTTGTTGGTCTCGGAATGGTATGGGACACTGTCCTAGCTCATTCAATGCGGAGAAATAACACTCAAACTCTGCCCTCTGAGTGTCTAGGTCAGTGGTAATAATAATAATAATGTAATAGTCCTTGCATTTGATGCAGCGCCTTTCAGGTTGGGAGGACGTCTCGCAGATCTTGACAGGATTTACCGTAAAGTGCAGTGATTGCGTATTTTGTAGGCCAACTTTTGCACCCGATAATGTCCCACAACCGACTAATTTCAAGTGCGGGCGTCCTGGCCACGAAGCAGGGCAGAAACTTGCTTCTCTCTTTTCCGATCGTGCTTTGGGACGTCAGGTTTAATGTCCCTCTCGTTAAAGTAGAACGAACACGCAAGCAACACGGCTGCCAATTTGCGCACAGCAGTGTCCCACAGACAGCGCATGAAACGAATTTAAAGAACGTAAGGTCATAAGAAACGCTAGATGGAAAAGGACAAGGTCCATCTAGTTCGCCTTCCACCTTCCGGGCGGTCGCTTGCACATATAACCCATAATATTATTTCCTAAAAGAAAACTATCTAATCTGTGTTTGAAAGGATCAACCCTTCCTGCTTCAACCGTCTCCCCGGGGAGCCTGTTCCGCAGGTTCACTCGTCGCTCACTGAAATAGTATTTGCCGTAGTCATGCACTTGTCTCGCAACGAACCACGGAATAATAAATAATAATCCTTGCATTTGATATAACGCCTTGTCACGTCTTCGAGACACCTCGAAGCGCCTCACGGAATACACTGTAAAGTGTAGTGGCTGTATTTTGTGGGCGAAAACCGCCTTAGTGCAGACAATAATAGATTATTGGAGACAACGTGAGGTTGGAAAAGTGGCACCGAGAAGGAGAGCGGTGAGAGAGAGAGCGAGTAATTTTTTTTTGGGGGGGTTGGGCTGCAGAGTTGCTTAACAACTACTCTTTCTCTCCCATCCCCCCCCATCCTTTCAGGCACTCTCACGGATGTTCATCAAGCTGCAAGTGAAATGAACGGCGCTCATTGTCCGAGGATGTGTAATTTGATTTGGGAATCTGCCCCATTAGGAGATTACAGGAAGCCCTATTGAGTTAATTAATTGGAGACTAGGATTGGGCAGAGTCCAGAGATGTGCAACGAATAGCAAACAGCATTTTGTTCAGCGCATTACGGGCACCGCATTTAACCAGATTCAAAGCACGGAGTGGGGGAGAGACCCTGTTTTGTTTTCTCTCCGTTTCTCTTTTTTTCTGCACCCCCCCCCCTCCCACCCACTCCTCCCCCATTAAAAAAAATGTGCACATCATAGCAGTGTTCTGGGGAACAAATAAGTGAGTGTGGAGATGACGAGATCAAATACAGGAATATAGACATTTTCTACACACGAGGGGGCTCTTATGACCCGTCCTGTTTGAGCCGTTGCCATCTACTTTTCCAAATCAATGAATTAACAGGAGATAATAATAATAATCCTTGCATTTGATACGGCACCTTATCACGTCCTTGAGATGTCTCAAGGTGCTTTTGCGGGCAAAACAAAATGCACAGATGGTACTGGTGTTTCTCACCGGGGATTTGTTAGGGAGGGAGGGAGGGAGGGAGAGGGGGGATGGTTCGGTTAGGGTTAGTTCCTTTCCAGCGATTCTTCCTGAGATGTGGGTAAGGGAAGGATTGTGCTTGGCCTTGAGCCACTGATTTAATGACCACTTGGGGCAAAGTGTTGAAGCTCAGTAGAACTGTGGTGCAGTGAAATGCAAAGCGAGATGTTCATTTCGGGGGTGGAGGGAGGGGGAGGAAACCTGAAGATGAATATTGGTACAGCTGGACGCCAGTGCACAGATTACTGTGGAGTCCTGTAGCATATTGGTGAGAGCACTCGCCTCGCAAGCGAGAGGTCCTGGGTCCGATCCCCGGGCAGGGTGAAACCCTCGGCAAGTTTCCATACTGCATACGCCTCTGTTTCCCCAGCAGTAAGTAGGAACCTGGTTGTTAGCCCATTGGCAGATTGCTTTCCAGGGGATAATAATCCCTCCAAAAAAATAAAAGAAATGATAATAATTTGGTCATTCAATCCACGACTGTTTGCGGGACCCTGATGTGTGCAATTGGCTGCCGCCAGCAAACTATCCAATCACTTTACAATATATTCTGTGATGCTTTGAATTATAATTTGAGACGTCTCGACGACGTGATAAGGTGCAATGTCAAATAATAATAATAATAATAATAATCCTTGCAAGGATCCAACAGGAGTTATACGACTGGAAGTCTGGAAACTGCACTCAGCTGTTAGAAAGTTTAAGCAACTTACAAGACATGAAAGGTTTCAAACAAAGCAACTTTTATATAAAATTTAATTAAAATTTAAAATAAAATAAATTGTTCCGGCCTGAGTTTCCAGCAGGTTATGCCTGATAACTCGCAGTGATCCACAGCAAACCAGCATCAAAGCCTCACAACCCCTGCCCAGACGAACTATTGCGGTCTTAATGAGGTGTTGTGTAGAGAATGGGGGGAAGGAAGTGGGGGAAACGTTTCTGCTATGAATGGCGGAGGGTGGGGAGGGGTGCGGGGGGAGGCGACCAAGGTTTCTTGGAGCTGACCCGGGTTCGATTCTCAGGCAGGACGAAACCTTAGGCAAGTTTCCTTACTCCACATTCCTCTGGTCACCCAGCAGTAATCCGGTTGTCAGTTGATTGCCGGATCGCTTTCCAGGGTTAATAATCCCTCCAAAAAGAAAATAATAATCAAAATAAATAATTCAATCAAAATAAAACACTCAATCCACGACTGTTTGTGGGACGCTGTTGTGCGCAATTGGCTGCCGCGTTTTGCCGACAAACTATACAGTCAATTCACTTTACAGTAGCGCTGTGTAGCGCTTTTAGACGTCTCCGATTTGCTGAGGCGCTACATCAAATGCAAGGATTATTATTATTATTATTAATCTAGAATGTTGTTGGTGCACAACCTCATGAAAAAACAGAGAGGTTGTCGCAGAATTCTAATGGCTTTTACAAGGCAATTAAAGAAGGATTCTAAAAATATGAAGAGCGAGAGGTAGGTTGTGTAGGCACATGTGTTGTGATGTGCAGCTGTGGTCCAGATGTGGCGAGGCTGTTGAAGTCAACAATGAGGTGTGTTGAAGAGTGAGCTGCACATCTGGATGCCTGGCACGTGTTCCCCGCCAGCAGCAGGCCCTGCCCCAATAAAGCCCACCTCCAGCCAAGCGTCAACCCTTCATCCTGCTCACCTGCTGCTAACTCCTGATGTTAATCTGGAATCATTTCTCTCTCAAACTCTGGGTTAAGACGTCCTGTTCTCCTTTATGCTCAGCAGGTCTCAGTCAATTGGTTGCCGTAACAGGATCTCGTGCTTAATTCTCGTTCGCCTCGCTCCCTCCCTCGTCTCCTTCAAGGCCCGTCTCAAGACCCTCCACTTCGACCGCTCCTTTGGTCACCCCCCCTTATCCTCCCTGGCCCCAAACCCTCCTGATCCCAACCCCCAGCTCGGGTCCAAATCCTTGACTGTCCAGTGTCTTGAGTCGTCCTCCCGACGTTAAAGGCGCCATACAAATGTAATTTGTTGTTAATTATTTGCCCCAAAAATGTACAGTCAATTCACTTTACGGTCTATTCTGTGAAGCGCTTTGAGCCGTCTCAAAGACGTGATAAGGCGCTATATCAAATGCAAGGATATAAAATATATATATATTAATATCACAGAAAGGAACATAGGAACAGAACTGTTCAGGCCATTCAGCCCCTCGAGCCTGTCCCGCCATTCTATTGGGTCATGGCTGAGTTTTTCCTGGTATCTCAGTCAACAGTCCCGAGATAGAATTGTTCACTAACTTCATGACTGTTTGTGGGATGTTGCTGTGTGCAAAACTGGCTGCTGGGTTCGCCCACAAAGCACACAGTCACCATAAACACCCTTCAGTGTATCGTGTGAAGCGCTTTGGGACTTCCTCCTGATGTCAAAGGTGCCACACCTAAATGTAAGGATTGGTGTTATGACTATTCAGTCACATGGACAGTAAAAGACTCTCAGTCTTTCTCATAATGCTGTTCAGTCTCGTAAAAAAAAAACCACGTAGGGCGTGGATAAAAATCTTGTACACACAAGGTCATTAGGACATGGAAACGCCTGACCAAACACAGAGGTTGAAGCTCAATCGTAACAGCTTCTCAATGGCAATTAGACAAATAAGTGAAGCCAAGTTTTTGCCCTCTCTTGCCCAACAACCAGCTTTCAGTGTGGGGGGAGCGGGAGATGGGGGGGGGGGAAAGGGAGAGGCGATGGTAATCGGAGACCTGAAATTCTATCAGTTCTTAGGCCTAAGGCCATTGACTTGAAATTTAAACCTGTACAGAATTTTGGAAAATTCTGACAATTGATCTTAATTTGGAGGCCAGTTTCCTGCCATTCTTTTCGAAAACATCATTCAAAATGAGACAGAATTTTTTCCCCAAAGCTCTGCACCATCTTCCATTTTTTTTAAGACGTCGGGAGGACGTCACAGTCAGGACAATGATTAAATTTCAGGCAGTGGGGAACCTCATCAATGTTACCTGGAGTTAGTTGGGTAGAGAATTGGAGTCAATCTCACTCCAACAATAATTATTATTGATAAGAATAAAATTTGCATTTGATATTTTTGATAATCGTAATAATAATCCTTAATTATTGATAATAACAATCCTTGCTTTTGATATGGCACCTTATCACGTATTCGAGACATCTCAAAGCGCTTGACAAAATGTTACTGTAAAGTGCAGTGACTGTCTATTTTGTGAGCGAAACTCTTTCCTGAAAACAGATTAAATTGCTCCTGAGTCAGAACGCGGACGATTAAGATTCACAGCCGAGCTGAGTGTTTGTACAAATGGTAACGCTTCTAGACCTGCTGTAATTTAACTTAAATCTGACCTTTTCTAGACCATTTCCATGGTGATGATTGCTATTGGAGTGTACGCCAGACTCATGAAACATGCAGGTCAGTGATCTCGACGGCTGTTTTTTTTTTAAAAAAACCTCTCCGATCTCCTTACTCCCCACTCCACTACCCGCTGCCTTCGCTCAACCAGCTCCGGCCTCCTGCTTGTCCCTCGTGGCCTCCGTTCCTCCGTCAGTGGCTGCGCTTCGGCCACTACGCCCCGAAACTCTGGAACCCCCTCCCTCTATCCCTCCGCCTGGTCCCCTTCCTTCTTGCCACTGTTACGCGCTCTGCGACGCTACCCTGTGTGAAGGGGCGCTGTATCGGTGCTTTGTTGTTAACTTTCTGGAGTTGTGAGTATAAATGCACGCGGCGGTTTGTGCATGTGTGTTGTGCGCGGGTTGGGGGGCGTTGAGGGGAAGAGTCGCTGCCCTGAGCCTTGTCGGGTGAGGGGCGGTTGGTTTGCTGACTGTATCTGTGTTACAGAGGCTGCGATGGCTTGTCTCGCTGTAGACCCCGCTATCCTGCTGATCGTTGTGGGCAGCCTCATGTTCCTTATCACATTCTGTGGCTGTGTTGGCTCCCTACGAGAGAACATCTGCCTCCTGCAAACCGTGAGTGCGTGAGTGAGTGTGAGTGTGAGTGCGTGAGTGTGAGTGCGTGAGTGAGTGTGAGTGCGTGAGTGAGAGTGCGTGAGTGTGAGTGCGTGAGTGAGTGTGAGTGCGTGAGTGAGTGTGAGTGCGTGAGTGAGTGTGAGCGAGTGTGTGAGTGAGTGTGAGTGCGTGTGAGTGCGTGCATGAGCGTGCGTGAGCGTGTGTGCGTGAGTGAGAGAGTGCTTGCGTGAGAGAGTGCGCGCGCGAGAGTGAGTGCGCGCGTGCGAGGGGGCGCTTGGTCTGCGGTCCGAGCAGATGGTTGGGAGTGGTTTTGTCATTCAGAACTCTGCAGCGCGTGTACTGTCCCGCACCAGGCTTCGGGACCACATCACTCCCACCCTCGCTCACCTCCACTGGCTCCCCATCCCCCAGAGGATTGATTTCAAGATCCTCATCCTCAGCTACAAGGCCATTCACGGCCTCGCTCCCTCCTACCTCTCCAACCTACTATCCCCCTACCTACCTGCCCGTACCCTCCGTTCTGCTCCATGTCCCCCGCCCCAACCGCCCTACCATCGGTGGTCGGGCCTTCAGCCTCTCAGCCCCGAGGCTCTGGAACTCTATCCCCCAGTGCCTTCGCCGCTTCAAAGCCGGCCTCAAAACCTTTCTCTTTGACCGAGCCTTCAGCTCCCCTCTCGACTCTCTTCCTCCTCCTCGCTCCCTCCCTTCCCTCCCCTCACCCTGACCATTTCCCCCCTCCTCGCTCCCTCCCTTCCCTCCCCTCACCCTGACCATTTCCCCCCTGCTCGGGTCATGACCCAACTGTGCAGCGCCTTGGGACGTCCTCCTGACGTGAAAGGCGCTTTATAAATGGAATCTTGTTGTTGTTGTTGTTGGAAGAGCGACTGACTTTTCCCTGAGGTCCTGACGCCAGTTTTTTCCCTCTGTTTGCAGTTCTCGGTCTGCCTGACCCTCATCTTCCTGCTACAGCTGGTGGCCGGGGTCCTGGGCTTCGTCTTCTCAGATAAGGTCAATAACAATAACGCAATAATAATCCTCGCCTTTTGATATTGCGCCTCGTCACATAAACCAGACTTCACAAAACGCTCGAACGGGATTGTACCGTGTGGTGCGGCCACTGTGTATTTGCAGAACGGACGTTAAAAGATCCCGTTAGTCCTGTTCAAAAAGACAAGGGAGTTTTACCCGGTGTCCTGGCCAACCCCCCACCCCCCCCCACACCAATAAAATCAGGGCAGTTTGTGAGACGTCGCTGCGAGGGCGGTGGCTACCGCAGCTCCTTCTACCTGTTCGTGACTAATTGGAAAGAGAAAGGGGTTTCTCCTGGTCAACAGTTCTTGTGTATCAATCGGTTGCCGTGTTTCACCTACACTTCACAGTAGTAGTAATAATAATAATAATAATAATGATTATCCTTGCATTTGCCATAGCGCCTTATCCCGTCTTCGAGACGTCTCAAAGCGCTTCACGGGATACACTGCAAAGTGGAGCGACTGCGTATTGTGTATTTTGCTGTGTATGTTGGAAAAATCCTGTGAAGGGCTTTGCGACGTCTCCTCGAAGTGATAATGGCGCTGTGTCAAATGCAAGGGCCGTTGAGATACATTGCCGAGACTCGCAGGCGAATAATGGTGACTCGGGGGCGAGGTCAGCCCCCGGGTTGACCGTACGCAGCCCAGCGGGAGGAAAATAAGAGGCGCTGAACGCCCGCCCTCGGGCGAGAGCGCGGAGAGGACTCGCGGGAGGAAAATAATTCTTGTGAAAAGCAGATGACATTCAGGCGATGAAATAGATGCAGGGATTGACGTTGCCTCTAACTCTCCCGTTCGCGCGCGCGCGCGTGTGGGGGATTTGTCTTTAAACGCAGGCCCGAGCCAAAGTCAGCGAGATCATCAACAATGCGATAATCCACTACCGCGACGACCTGGATTTGCAGAACCTGATCGACTACGGACAGAAGCAGGTGCCGCGATCTTTAACCTCCGCCGTTGACTGACGCCCCCAAGCAGCGGCTCCACCGGGCGCTTTATTATTTGTATCGTGGCGTTATTGTCCGTAACTCGCCGCAGAATTATTCGGTCACCCCCTCAGTGTGGGGCCTTGGCCTTTCACCACTGGGGAATAACACGGTATAAACGCTTCCCGGCGACGGTGATTTAATTCGCTCCCAGTGATGTCTGTGCACTTGTCCCCCCCCCCCCCCCCCCCCCCCCCGGTCTTGGCCCCGTCATTTGCCGCCGGTGGTGTACCGCTGCCCCCCAGTGGCAGCCATTGCGTGGTACAGACGTCCCCATTTATAATCACCGTAATAATATCGAACCGTCAATGCAATACAATAATACTGTTCGCTAATCAATAATCAGTAAATCTGAAACAGCGTGGCTTTTACCACCACCCCCACCCCCCCCACCCCCTCACCCCCCACCCCCACCCGCCTGACTTGTAACGCTCCTGTACTCTCAGTTCGGCTGCTGTGGTGGGACCTCGTACCAGGATTGGACCCGCAACATGTACTTCAACTGCACCATGGAGAATCCCAGCCGGGAACGCTGCTCAGTCCCTTACTCTTGCTGCCTCCACTCCAAAGAGGAGGTGAGGAAAGTTTCTGACGTGGAGGGTGCTGCAGCGCCCCTTGACTTGCCACAGGAGGGTTGGCTCTGTGTCTGTGTGTGTGCGTCCTGTGTGTCGTGTGTGTGTGTGTGTGTCCTGTGTGTGTGTGTGTATCTGAAGGGAGATTGTCGTATGAGTTTGCTACACGCAACAAGACCAAGAAAGGTCCATCCAGTTCGCCTTCCATCAGCTTGTGCATGTCGTGTCCCAAACTATACACTGTAATCCCAAGGTATTATTCCCCCTCCCCACCCCTCTCCCCCCCAGCTCGGGATCAGACTCCATCACCGTCAAGCGCTCCCGGGGGCTACCTCGCGTGAAAGGCGCTATGCAAATGCAAGTTGTCGTAAAAGAAATCTGTCTTTGATTTGCTTTTGAAAGAATCGACCCTTTCTGCTTCCACCGTCTCCCTGTGTGGAGCCTGTTCCGTACGTTTACCACTTGCTCCGCTCCCTGAAATAGTGGTTCCCCGTAAATTGTATCGAAGTCATCTTCCCTTCAATCGCAGGCCGTGTCGTGTGTGTGCGTGAGCGCGCGTGTTTACGAGCGTGCGTGCGTGCGTAACACCAATCTGTGGACTACTGTCTCTCGCGCTGACTTAATTCTCTTTGTGGCTCTGGTGCAGAAAGTGATCAACACGATGTGTGGGCAGGGGATGCAGAGCCTGGACTATCTGTCAGCTGAGAAATTCATCTACACCAACGGCTGCATCGACAAGCTGGTCAACTGGATCCACAGTAACCTCTTCCTGCTGGGAGGGGTGGCCCTCGGGCTCGCAATTCCCCAGGTCAGTGCTTCTCACTTCATATCCCCTCCGACACTCTCTCTCTTCTCCCCCTTCGCATTGGCTGCTCTCTAGTCTCTCGCCATGAGCTGCGGGTGACCCTACCCTCAGGACAGTGCGTGTCGGCAAGATATCAAACCGAGGAGGAACCCGATGCTTGTCCTGAACGAATGTCTACCCTTGTCTTCAAATCCCTCCACTCCTCTGCACCCCCCCCCCCCGATCTCTCTGACCTCTCTCCTCAAAACAGTACCCGTTGCCTTCGTTCCACCGGGTCTGGCCTCCTCCTCGTCCCCTGAGTCCTCCGCTCCACCCTCGGGGGCCGTGCCTTCAGCCACTATGCCCCGAGGCTCTGGAACTCTCTTCCTCACTCCCTTCGCCTCGTCCCCTCTCTTCCTATTTTGAGGTCTCTGCTGAAGACCTTTCTTTTCGACCGCGCCTTTGGTCACCTTCCTGGCCCTCCCACTGGCTCAGCCCTGGGATCTGTTACTGTGCAGCGCTCTGGGACGCGTGGAGGGCGCTATATAAACCCAAGCTGTTGTTGTTGTCGTCGTCCACACCAGACGTGTGCTGCGTTTGGAGGAGGTCGTTTTGGCTGCGACATCTTCCTCCTCCCCCTGGGCTTGATTAGCCAACTCCGTGGTTCAAAACAACAACTTGCACTTATATAGCGCCCTCCATGCAGGGCGGCGTCTCAGAGTGCTTAATGATGGTGGAGCCTGACTCGGGGGGGGGGGGGTGGGGGAGAGAGGGAGGGAGGTGGCCCGTAAACACGTTCGAAAAGGAAGGTTTTTCAGGCAGGGCTTGAAAGGGGGGAGAGAAGGGGGCAAGGCGGAGGGGGGTTGAGGGAGAGCGTTCCACTCACCACAAGGAGAGTGGCCACTTGAGCCCTGAGATGCTGCCCCATCCACGTGAAGGACGCGATCCAACCACAAGCTGCTGTTATCGTTATCAGCGTCTACAAAATGTGTCGCAGCGCCGGTCAGTGTCCTGAGCCAAGGACGGAAGAAACGTTCGGCCCAGTTTCCTTCTTGTTTTCCTGCTTTCCGATATCCGCGTGTTTTGCACGGGAGCTGTTGGAGCTCCCCTCACCCAAAATATAATAATGATCCTTGCATTTGATACAGCGCCTTATCGCGTCGTCGAGACGTCTCAAAGCGCTTCGCGGGACGTACTGTCAAGTGGAGCGACCGTGTATTTTTGTTGGCACGAAATCAAAATACAAAAATCATCATTGTCATTTTCTCTCTCTCTCTCTCTCTCTCTCTCTCTCTCTCTGTGGCGACACGCAGTTGGTTGGGATCCTTCTCTCCCAGATCCTCATCAATCAGATCAAAGACCAGGTGGAACTGCAAAAGTACAACAGTCAGCACCGAGCGGATCCCTGGTACTGACCCCATCCTCTGGAGCCGGCCCCAGTCGCTGTAACAAAAGACCAGCCTGGCCTCGCCTGACCTTGACGTGTGCGTGTGTGTGTGTGTGTGTGTGCGTGCGTGCGCGCGTGTGCGTGCGTGTGTCCATGGTGGCTTTTATTTATCAAGTGTTTGGACCTCTGTTCACTTTCGCACGCAGAGAGGGAGAGAGAGAGAGAGAGAGAGAGCGCTGTGGTTGGAATCGTTCTTTTGGACTCAGGACTCGTTGGGATTGAGCTGTCGGGGTTGATAACAAAGGCAAAAACATCTCCCATTACCCAGCGCTCAGCCCACCATGGGCTGGTGTCTCCGCTCAGTCTCTCAGCCCACCCTGGGCTAGGCTGGATGCTTCCTCCCTGGGCGCACTGATTTCTTTCCTGGGCCTCAGAGGCGCCGTTTATTTCACCTCAAAGCAGATGTGTTATGTGGTCCTTCCCTTCCATTCGAAATAAATTTATAGTTTTTTTTTTAAAGCAAAAGATATATAAATTATTTTTTAAAGTCGTGTACTTTGACACATCCGTTGTTCCTTCGAAGCATTTTTACCGACTCCGCTGCTGCACCTCTGCTCTCTATCGACGTGTGATTTAATTACCGTGTTTTGAAAGAAGAACTTCCGAGCGCTCGCAGCTCTGGAACCTTCCAGGCCTGGCTTGTGATGGGGAGGAGGAGAGAGGAGGAAAGAGAAGATGGGTCGACAATCTGCGGTGGATTGGGCCAGGAGTGTGGATGGGTTTGTCTGTCTGTCTCTCTCTGTCTGTCTGTGTGGGTGCGTCTGTCTGTGTGTGTATGGGTGCGTCTGTCTGTGTGTGTGTGTGGGTGCGTCTGTCTCTGTGTGTGTGTGGGTGCGTCTGTCTGTGTGTGTGTGGGTGCGTCTGTCTCTGTGTGTGTGGGTGCGTCTGTCTGTGTGTGTGTGTGGGTGCATCTGTCTGTCTGTGTGTGGGTGCGTCTGTCTGTGTTTGTTGGTGTGTCTGTCTGTACGGGTGCGTCTGTGTTGGTGTGTCTGTCTGTGTGGGTGCGTCTGTCTGTGTGTGTTGGTGTGTGTGGGTGTGTCTGTCTGTATGGGTGTGTCTGTGTGTGGATGTGTCTGTCTGTGTGGGTGTGGCTGTCTGTGTGTGTTGGTGTGTGTGGGCGTGTCTGTCGGGCGTGTCTGTTTCTGGGTACGTCTGTGTATGTTGGTGTGTTTGTCTGTGTCTATCTGTGTGTGTTGGTGTGTCTGGGTACATCTGTGTGTGTTGGGGGGTCTGTCTGGGTGTGTTGGTGTGTCTGTTTAGGTGTGACAATTTGGACATGGTTGGGTGTGACAGTAGAAGTGTGATAGTTTTGACATGGTTGTGTCTACCTGTCTGTCTGGGTGTCTGGGTGTGCCAGCAGTAGGGTGAGGAGCGTGAGTGTGCGCACATGAGATTTTGGGTTGAACTTTCCCATTAGAAACACCGGCTGACTTGGGGACGGGTTGGGCGGAGATATTGATGTCAAAGCCAAACGTGGCTTTGTGACCGATGTTTGAGGGGGGCGGGTTGTGTGTGTGTGTGTGTGTGTGTGTGTGTGTGTGTGAGGGGTGGAGGGGGGAGGAATAGTTGCCTCTTCTGATCTCACTTAGTTTTGTTTCTGTTCAGCGAGTGACGCCAATGCCTACATTCCATCGAAACTTGTGTGTGAGTTACTTGCCCTCTGCTGCCCTAGGTCTGTGTCACACCCAAATGTCGGCCAAGCCAATTTTAATGTTTTTATTATTCCTTTTTCCGCCCCCACCCCGCTGAATTATTCTTTTTCCACTGTATTTCCTTGGGGGACCAGACCGATTGGATTTTTTTTTCCTCTGGATTTCACAGTCTTTTATTTTCTCTCGATTTCAACGTGACCAATTTCGGTGTCTGTATCTTGAGAAAATCAGTACCCGCCCATTGCAAATCTACCCCCTGCCCCCCTCCAAATGCTGGGTGCATAGCGAGAGCTGGAGTGATGAGGGCAAGCGATAAATATTTACCCTCTCAATCAACTCATCCCCTCTTCCAAAGAACGAGGCCGAGACAAGGAAATCATTAGTTTTAAATTGTTCTCCTTTTACTCTTTCCCCCCCTCACCCACCCACCCACCCAACCACCATTCAATTACTTGTTTAACTCACTGCCAGACAGATAGATATTAATTTTTCCACTGTGTCAACTATAGTTTTATTTTTTTAATAAATGTAATGTTCATCGTGACTGTTGTCTAATCTTGATTTTTTTTTAGTGAGGAGGACGGTTTTGGGAGGGGGCACAGGGGCTGTTTGGGTGTGTGTCATAATTTCTTAATTAAGAAATCCCAATGGCAACTCTATATGGTAACTAAGAGTCCATTGAACAAACACATGTGGGTGGGGGGGGGATTAACTGGGGGAGACTGGGAAACGAACCCCCACACTTCATACTGACCAAACTCCTTACCCACATCTCACCAGTCCTGGCCCAGGCTCCACTGGCTCCCCATCACCGAACGGATCGACTTCAAGATCCTCACACTCGTGTTCAAATCCCTTCGCTCTCTGGCACCTCCCTACCTCTCCGACCTCCTCACTCCCCAATCCACCATCCGGCGCCTCCACTCGACTGGCACCGGCCTCCTGCTCGGCCCTCGCACCCTACGTCCCACCATCGGAGGTTGTGCTTTCAGCCACTACAGCCCAAAACTCTGGAACACTTTCCCTCAATCCGTCCGCCTTGCCCCCCTCCTCTCTTTCAAGTCCCGCCTGAAAACTTTCCTTTTCGACCGTGCTTGCGGTCACCTCCCCACCCCCTCCGGCTCGGAGTCGGGCTCCGCCACTGTTAAGAGCTCTGAGATTCTACCCTGCGTGGAGGGCGCTATATTAAGTGCAAGTTGTTGTGGTTATGCTGTTCGCTTGAGTATCCAAAACACCACGTATCATTCCCATTTGGCACTTAACTCAGTGTCCAATCCCGCACGACAGCCATGATAATCTCTCATACACGCCGTGGAAAATGCTAAGTCTGCTATCTATCTCAAAGCGCTTCACAGAATAGATTGTAAAGTAGAAATTTGACTCAGTCAGAGTGTTCCCTCCCTGATTGCTTTCCAGAGACCCATCAGTCTCGACTGTGAGGTTACTGCTTGCTTCAAGACCTTCCCCTTCGACTGCGCCTTCGCTCACCCTCCTACCCCCACCCTCTCTGCCCTCCATCCCTCCTGATCCCAACCCCCGGCTCGAGTGCACATCCTTGATCGTCCACCACTTTGGACGATCGAGGATGTGGGAGTGGGATGGGAAGCTCCTGTTTCTGCCGGAGGCCGTTCAGTGATGGTTCACAGGGGCTTAAAGAAGTGAGAATCTGGGATTAGTCCGTAACCCCTGTCATCTCTGTCAGCTCACGGTTAAACGATTTATGATTTATAGACCTTGAGACGTCTCGAAGCGCTTCACAGCATATACTGTAAAGTGAATTGACTGTATATTGTGTGTGTGAGGGTGGGGGGGGGGGGGGGAGGGTTATTTTCTTATATTTGAACCCGTAGCAGAATTGAACTCCGAGGAAGGGTACCTGACCACGAAACAGGGAAGGGGGCCGTGCGTGTGAATGAAACTAAGTCCAGCCAAGCCTGTAACTTTGTCTACAGGTTGACAGGCCACTCTCCCTCTCTCTCTCGCTCTCGCTCTCGGGTGGAGATTGCTGGGAGAGGAAGGCAAAAGAGAAGCATCTGATGTGACTGAAGGCAGGAATCAGCCTGTGCGTGCGTGCGTGCGTGTATATATATATGTGTGTGTGTGTGTGTATGTGTGTGTGTGGTCCCGGGATCTTGGCAATCAGAGCCAATCCCACAATCACTGTGCCTCCCAGCTTGGCGAGAGGCCAGTCAGACTGGCTGCATTCACGTCAGCTTCCTGTGCGAGTCTGCCTGCAAAACACACTGTACGGCCAAAGCTTATCATGCCTCGTGAGCAGGGCTGGTTTGTCTTTAAAATGGAGAGACTCTACCTGCTCTTCGCCCACAAAAAATACACAGTCACTCCACTTCATAGTATACCCCGCGAAGGCTTTGAGACGTCTCGACGACACGATGAGGCGCCATATCTAATTCTATGTGACACGCGCCACGATAATATTATTAAGTGAGCTCCAGAGGAAAGCTCCTCATAAGACATCCTCGATGTAATAAAAATAATCCTTACATTTGCTACAACGCCTTTCACATAAAGAGGACGTCTCAAAGTACTTAATAATAATAATTCTTGCATTTGATATAGCGCCTTATCACGTCGTTGAGACGTCTCAAAGCGCTTCACAGGATATGCTGAAAAGTGGATTGACTGTATAGTTTGTGGGCAAAATTCGGCCGCCAATTGCACACAGCAGTGTCCCACAAACAGTCGTGAATTGAGTGACTAATTTATTATCTATTATCTATGTATTGGTCTTAGATATTTGACTTCACCTTTCACTCACGTACCCACTCCGACGTGTGAGCCGAGACACAGAGAGAGGCAACAGGAGAGTTTGCTCTGGAGGGCATCGCAACCAACACCAACAACTTGCACTTGTATAGCGCCCTCCACGCAGGCTAGCGTCTCAGAGCGCTTGAACCAATTGCCGACCCTTCCCTTCTTCCTGTACTGTAAGCTCCCGATAACTCGTCGCTCCAAGGTATCCATAGAATCCCATCGCAGTTCATTCGGTTACAGTAGCAAGACCCTGTTTGACTGCTTATTTTTTTTAACCCCAACGTGTTTTTTTTACACTAACCCCAAGACACATTAACATTTTCAATGTCATTTTGAACCGGATCTTTTGTTCGAGACAAACTCTGGCTACGGTATGAAATAATAATAATCCTTGCATCACGTCTTCGCGACGTCTCAAAGCGCTTCCCGGAATATACCGTCAAGTGAATGGAGTGTATATTCTGCGAGCGAAACGCGGCAGTTGATTGCGCACAGCAGTTTCCCACAAACAGTCGTGGATTGAAATGATTTTTTTGGAGGTGGGGGGCGGGTGGGGGGCGGGCGGAGAGGGATTATTACTCCCGGAAAGCAATCTGCGATCAACTAACAACCGGGTTCCTACTTGCTGCGAGTTAAGGATATACTGTAAGGATATATATTTGTCACAGGGTATACTGTAACACAGGGTGACCATGTTTTGTAAACCAAATCCAGGGACATGTTTTTCTTTTAAAAAATTGAACTGACTACAATTGCTGAAGCCGGAGGTACCGGGGAAACTTGTTGGATTCATGGCTTGTGTTTCTCTGATGTGTGTGTCTGCTCTTGTTCTCGCTCAGTTTGTTGCCGAACTCAAAAGGCGGACAAATTTGGCCCCGGGGACACAATACCTCATCCGGGGGCTATCCCCAGAAATCAGGCACGTATGGTCACCCTACTGTGACGTGTAGTGACTGTGCGTTGTGTGAGTGAATGATATCCAAAGGTAACCGTGTCACTTCACTGGAATATTCATCTCCATCACAGTCTGGTTTGCTGTTGTCCACCACCATCAGCCCCATTTTGTTTTTCATGGAGTATTTGCTCTTTGTTGACGCCCATCACTTCTATCCCATTCCCACTTCTTCAGCTCCTTTCTGAAGAAGTTATCTGAACCAGCATCAGTTGTCCTGCGAGTCCTGATACTATATACTTTTGAAGGTTGAGTGCTCGAAACCGTACACACTAATCTATCTATTTTCAGTGCTCTGAGATGCTGCCCTGTATGAAAGGCTTTTTATAAATTGCAAGTTGTTGGTAATAACAAAGTTGGAATAATCTCTTTCATTAATAGTCAAATGGCC